AGGTCCTGACAGGTCCTGACAGGTTCTGACAGGTTCTGACAGGTTCTAACAGGTTCTGACAGGTCCTGACAGGTCCTGACAGGTCCTGACAGGTCCTGACAGGTCCTGACAGGTTCTGACAGGTTCTGACAGGTTCTAACAGGTTCTGACAGGTCCTGACAGGTTCTAACAGGTTCTAACAGGTTCTAACAGGTCCTGACAGGTTCTAACAGGTTCTGACAGGTCCTAACAGGTCCTGACAGGTCCTAACAGGTTCTGACAGGTCCTAACAGGTCCTGACAGGTCCTAACAGGTCCTGACAGGTCCTAACAGGTTCTGACAGGTCCTGACAGGTCCTAACAGGTTCTGACAGGTCCTAACAGGTCCTGACAGGTCCTGACAGGTCCTAACAGGTCCTGACAGGTTCTAACAGGTCCTGACAGGTCCTAACAGGTCCTGACAGGTCCTAACAGGTCCTGACAGGTTCTAACAGGTCCTGACAGGTTCTAACAGGTCCTAACAGGTCCTAACAGGTTCTGACAGGTCCTGACAGGTTCTGACAGGTCCTGACAGGCCCTGACAGGTCCTAACAGGTCCTGACAGGTCCTGACAGGTTCTAACAGGTTCTGACAGGTCCTAACAGGCCCTGACAGGTCCTAACAGGTCCTGACAGGTTCTGACAGGTTCTAACAGGTCCTAACAGGCCCTGACAGGTCCTAACAGGCCCTGACAGGTCCTAACAGGTCCTGACAGGTTCTAACAGGTCCTGACAGGTTCTAACAGAATCTAACAGGTTCTGACAGGTCCTAACAGGTCCTGACAGGTTCTAACAGGTCCTGACAGGTCCTAACAGGTCCTGACAGGTCCTAACAGGTCCTGACAGGTCCTAACAGGTCCTGACAGGTTCTAACAGGTCCTGACAGGTTCTAACAGGTCCTAACAGGTTCTGACAGGTCCTAACAGGTCCTGACAGGTTCTAACCGGTCCTGACAGGTTCTAACAGGTCCTGACAGGTCCTAACAGGTCCTGACAGGTCCTAACAGGTTCTGACAGGTCCTAACAGGTTCTGACAGGTCCTAACAGTTTCTAACAGGTTCTGACAGGTCCTAACAGGTTCTGACAGGTCCCGACAGGTCCTAACAGGTCCTAACAGGTCCTGACAGGTCCTAACAGGTCATAACAGGTCCTAACAGGTCCTAACAGGTTCTGACAGGTCCTGACAGGTCCTAAAAGGTTCTGACAGGTCATAACAGGTCCTAACAGGCTCTAACAGGTCCTGACAGGTCCTAACAGGTTCTGACAGGTCCTGACAGGCCCTGACAGGTCCTAACAGGTCCGGACAGGTCCTAACAGGCCCTGACAGGTCATAACAGGTTCTAACAGGTCCTAACAGGTTCTAACAGGTCTTGACAGGTCCTAACAGGTTCTGACAGGTCTTGACAGGTCAGGTCCTAACATGTCCTGACAGGTCCTGACAGGTCCTGACAGGTTCTAACAGGTTCTAACAGGTCCTGACAGGTTCTAACAGGTCCTGACAGGTCCTGACAGGTCCTAACAGGTTCTGACAGGTTCTAACAGGTCCTGACAGGTCCTGACAGGTCCTAAAAGGTTCTAACAGGTCCTAACAGGCCCTGACAGGCCCTGACAGGTCCTGACAGGTCCTGACAGGTCCTAACAGGTTCTGACAGGTTCTAACAGGTCCTGACAGGTCCTGACAGGTCCTAAAAGGTTCTAACAGGTCCTAACAGGCCCTGACAGGCCCTGACAGGTCCTGACAGGTCCTGACAGGTCCTGACAGGTCCTAACAGGTC